GACAACTTTTTGCACACGATCAAATTTTCTGCCACTTTCTGCTTAGATTTAGACAGGCGTGTCGTAAATTAATGGCAACACGGCACAGGTAATGGTAAATGTTACCACACTACACCTTGAGAATGACTGGGTTCTGCATCCATGACGCAAAGTTTGAGAAAATGGGATACAAAGATTCTCCCTCTTACAGCTTAAATGTTTTTACACCTTTTTTGTTAATTGTCAAACGGAAAAAAACAACAACTACAGGTCAGAATATCTTGAACTTTTGACACAGTGTGCAGGACATCTGTGTCAGTAATGTGTAGTGTGTAACTAGGACATCTAACTGTGTCAGTGATGTGTAGTGTGTAATTCAGTTCTAACACAAAGTGGAGGTAGAACTCTGTCATTCTAAGACTAAGACTAAGAGTGTGAGTGTGAGATAATGGCGGAAGTCGTCCGTGTTGTCGAGGTGAAAAGCGTGAAACGAAATAGTGTCTGCTGAAGAAGAATTAGGTCAACTTTTTCAAGTGAGTGTGAAAGTTTTCTTTGATAACCAGTCTATTGGATAGCATGCAGAACTGCAAATTGGTGATTATAGTTAAATAACAATGATCATTCTAAAGCGCTTAAAGCATGTTATGTAGCGTGGATACGTGCTATAGTCTATAGATGCCATTGTTATTTTTATTCTGAAATGTAGGTGTGGGTGGTGAATGTACTGAGCCTTGGGCCTGGTTAAATGTTCACTTTGCCTCTTTCTGCAAGTACAGGTCAACTTGGCTCGCCGGGTCACCGGTACGTTCCCCGCCCTGTCCTTGACCTTGACCCTGATGTTGTACGAAGTTTGCAAGAACCGTTCCTCTTAACTCTGTGGTGAATTGTAGCCTGTTATTGTGCCGTAAGTTATCTCCTCTTTTTGCCCCTCCCCCTGACAGAAGCAAAACATTCCATAGTTCAAGTAAAGAGGACGTTAATTAAAAAGTTTCTTGTTCACATTTCGGGGGATTGCGGCGAACAGTCGTGTATCTGTCCCAGTTAATGTCCTCTGATTTCTCCTCCCCTCCCTCAGTATGACCCAGTTTTGGTTGACGGGTCTGTACTTCTCCTGGATTAAATCCTTTTTCTGCTGAAGAGAACAAAAGTCTTGTTTCGAAGGGACCATTGTTAAAAATGAAAGAAGCTCGTAATTCTTATTCTATGATTGCCTGTCATCTGCCTTGTGGTTCGAAATGAAAGAAGCAAAGTAAGCAGATGATGAGGGAAATTTATTTTGATACGTTCTGCTCTTTAACAGAAGGCCATAATTTTTTGTGCTGGTAAAAGATAAAGGCAGATGAGGCCAAAAAATATGTGCCCATTTTGTCCCGACCGTGTATGGCCATCGTACAATAATGTGTAAATCGAATAAAACAAGAACAAATTAATCGAATAAAATCAGTACATGTTCTGGCGATAAAAGGTGTAAGAACAACAATATGATGACCTTTTTAAAAAAGAAACTGTTCAAATATCAAAGTTCTTGAAAACCTGAGAGACGGAACTCGCACAAAATATTACCACCCGACAAAAGCTTGTTGGAATTTCTTTGTTTACAGCTTGATTTTAAGAAAAGCTGGGTAGTGGATCATACATTCGTCTGGCACATTTATTTCATAGGAAAATAAAAATTTGTTGAAATATTTGTTCTAAACCGAGGCCCTATAGTGCGGTCGTACATACTTGAATGAAATTTATAATAATTATTATGTATTTTTTATGTGTGTACAACAAGTGGAATGTGGGTGAGTGAATGAAGCAGAACCTGGACATAAGTGTGTCTGGTTCTATGGAAAAAGTAAGATAATGTACATAAGGATGCGTGGCTATGAACATTGGCGTTTTGTTATGAACTTCTCATGTTGTCTATACCATTTCCTGTGACATACTTCTGTACATGATGAGAAAAAACTTTTGTAACAAAACATGTTGAATCAAACTAAAACCTGCAAATTTTGCAATAAACTGAATGCATAAATTGGTTGGCT